CACCTTTCTTTGATACTCTACAAAGGGTCTACCAACAAGGAGCGAGTCTCTAAATGTGAGAATCAAATTTCAGTATTATTGATAAATATTTGAAACTACAGGTACTTCACAAGCTTGATTAGCGGTCCTAGCATTTCTTGTGTTTTTATGAAAAATCTAAACGTTTATTGATTACTGTCAACACTGAGCGCTCCGGACCGGAGTTTCATGAAAAACCTGGTGCAGTAGGTTTACAAAAGCGACAAACATTACTTAACTGGCTTACATTGCGCGAAAGATCCGTCGTTTATGGTAATTTTTCTTCTTATCTTTTCTAAGAGATTTCACGTGTAAATAACCATCGTTTCATCTTGAAAAAAAATATATCTGGTAAACTCGAGCGGGGAAAATTGCAAAACAAATTAACGGTGTTATCACGAGCCTCGCACAAGCTTGAAAGACAACAGTTGACACAGTTGAGCTACTGAGGTGCGACTGGCTTGTGTGCTCTTATAAATTGAAGGTGAATACACATAAAGAGTATCTAATTTGTGTCGCGTTCACCGTGGCCTAATCCATGTGGAAATTGATTGGTTACATCAGGAGCCAATTGGGCTCCTGGTTACACTAATAGCTTCAGAATCACTTTACCCTTGAATGAGTCTGTAAATTATGTGTGGTCGCTTTGTCAAAGATAACTATTGAGCAGCAGAGCCGTTTAAAATTCCAAATGCAAGCAGCTAGAACTACAAATAACAAAGGAAAAATTACTAAAGTAGATCCTGAATTATTTTATGATCTTTCCTTACTAATCCTGCCGATATCTTCAAAGAGTGCTCTTCAGGCAAACTTTTGGACAGTCAATATGTAATTTAAAAAGGATCAACAAAAAATTTCATTTATCAAGACATCTTATTTACATCTTTATTGAGACATCTTACGAACATAGGCACACGGCAAAACCAAAAGTCTCACGGTAAAACCAAAAGGCTCCCGGAAAAACCAAAAGGCACACGACGAAACCAAAAGGCTCACGACGAAACCAAAAGGCACGTCAAAACCAAAAATTTCACGGCAAAACCAAAAGGCTCACGACGAAACCAAAAGGCACATCAAAACCAAAAAGTTCACGGTAAAACCAAAAGGCACACGGCAAAACCACAAGGCTCACGGCGAAACCAAAAAGGCACAAGGTAAAACCAAAGGCTCACGGCAAAATCAAAAGGCTCCCGGCAAAACCAAAAGGCTCGCGGCAATATAATTAATAAATGATAACACCCTATTCCCGACATCACCATGGCAGGGTGGATTTTAATAATTGAGGAGTATTATATTTGAACAATCAACCCCACTCCCTCCCTCACAGAGCTCCAACCTTCCCTCCTCCTCAACAATTATTGTATTTGTGTTGTAAAAAAATTACGATAATATTGAAGGCAAATTTTCATAATCTCTTCAAACATAAAAATATTTATTGATCATTAAGTGACGCGCCCAAAGCCCTAAAGTCTTTTGGGCTGTTAAGAAAATCGAGAGGAAAACAGTGGAAGACAAAGATTAGTAAGAAAACCTAAAGTAAGTCTGTTGGACTGGAAGGAAACTGATATGAAGTTGTAACCTGTAAGGAGGAAGAGAAGTGTATTTAGAGTATCCAAAGAAGAAGAATATATGCTGGTCTATAAAGATGGGAAACAAGCCCAATTTCTGCCAGGAACTGTGGAAGTTTTCGTGTGTTTATCATTATTATTTAAATCACAACTAGAAGCTTCTGTGCCTTGAAAGCAAGAAAAGGAATTATTTATCTGATAGTTAGATGGTAGATGCTTAAAATCATAATGTGTATTATTTAATTGTTAGAACCTAACATGAGCAAGATGAACTAATTATGGAATGAATCCTAACATCATACTTCAAATATTCCTTCCCTGTAAGGCGACGGGCTCTTGGCAGGTTTATGTGTTTCTAAAAAGTTTTATTTTACCATTTCGCAATTTCAAAAGCAGAATCCTAAACATGTTTTGGTTCATTTGTTATTTCTTACTCATTCTCTTGGATAGTCAGTCCTTAATTACCTGTCCTATCTCAGCGAAGGAAGAACCAGTATTTTTTTTTTCTTATTTTCGTCCCGTTTCGTCCCCCGATTCACCTGATTCTGTCTCTCCTGGGTAGTCAGTACTATATGGGCTGTTGTTATCTGAAGGCAGAACCTTTCCTTTTTTTTCACCTGGTTCTGTCTCTCTTGGGTATTCAGTCCTATTTGGACTGTTGTTATCTGAAGGCAGAACCTTTCATTCTTTTTTTTTTTTTTTTTTTTTTCCAATCTGGTTCTGTCTGTCTTGGGGAGTTGGTTCATTTTAGACTGTGTGTTTTTATCTTATAAAAACTAATTTGAGTTTGAATCTCAACAAGATTAAATTTACTTGTCTTGATGGTACATATCCTTTCCTTTACAGATTAACTGAAAAATCGTGATGAAAAAGCCATGTTTGTTTTAATTAAAAAATTAGCTCTCCTGTTGCGATGACTAACGAATTCGAACTGAATCAACCCCATATAGTAAGTGCACGTTCCATTGACCAACTTTCTGGTCGATGTTTTTTTTGTCTTTGTGGTGTCTGGTGGTGTCTGCCCTCAATTCTCGTGGATGTTTCATTTAAAATTAATGATGAATTTAGGAATTTAATATTAACGAATAAAATACCTCTTCTCGTCACGTACTCCATTGCATTTACATTTTCATCTCCGCTCCCAACTGTGATAACTTCCCTTGCCTAAAAATCAACTTGAGATACGAGATGTAATATCGGTCATAGATTTTAAAAGAGGTTTGTGAGTAAAGAACTTTTAATTTTCTACTTGTCTTTGTTTATTTTCTCGCAGCCTAATACATGTAGTTTGCAGTGTTCGCGGCGGCGCGCCAGGAAACCCCGGCAGGAAAAAAACTTCTAAGATTTTACTCCTTTAATGATCGCTTTAATGAATATTTCTTCCTTATGTGTTGCCGGCCATGGGTGCAAAAACTCCGTTATGTATTTCTTTACAAGCCAATATTGTCAAAGAAAAATAGCTTGAGTTCTGCTGCGCTGTGTGATCCATGAGTGATCTCATGGCAGTTAGAGCTTTCTGTTGTTTGTGGTGTCATCTTCCTGAGTGGAGTTACCGCTACTACATTTTTGTTAGCGTTTAAAAATCGAAAAATGCATGGTTTTGGTGAAATAGATTCATCCTTTTCAACTCTTAACGACTGTCGAGTTGTGTGTATCATTAGAATGGGTCAGCAAATTTGCATTATATGTTTCGCGAGGCGCTAGAAAAAATGGTTGACCCTACGCGAGTGAAGCCGACGCTTCAGGTCGGCGTCGATCCTTTATTGTCTTCGGGAAAAAAAATCCTATTATTGAGTTAGACTGTAAAATTTCTTTGGCTTACATTGTATGCTTTAAAGTAAACATGAGTTTTAGTTCCACGCGAGGGTTTAACCTTGAAAAATGCATGCACTCAATTGACGCTGACATTAACGCGTGTCCCTAGTGGCCTATCTGGAAAACATTTGTATCATGATAAGAAAGGTCAACTTAAAAGACTTGGGTTACTCTCGCCATGCAATTTGGACGCCAATAAAAAGCAATTCATCCGCAACACCTCGATCGTACTGTGGACGCGAACTCGGTTCTTCTGTGTCGGGCGGATCTCAGATCCACCGTAGCCTAATTTGCAAAATTTTATCGATGGGCAAAGCTCGTCATAGTGAAGTGAGTGAAAGTCAGACGGCATCTACTTAAGAACGGATTAAAGAAAACTTGACACTGACTGGATAAAAAGGCGTCTTGGGGAAGGTTTCCTTTTCCCGACGATTGGTAAGCGTGGGATTTGATCAGGTGTCATGCAATGGAAACAGTAAAACTAGAACTCCTCGCATCAAAGATAGGTTCTGTAATCATTCCAGAGAGATGTACGAAATACATTCAAGCGTCTGAAATACATCAAGCCTTGTTGTTGTGTATTAGGGTTCAATATACTAAAATAGAACAATGCGTGAATCAGACCATGTGCACTGCCATGAAATTAATTACGCTGTTGGATAGTCCAGACAAAATTATGATAACCAATCAATTTAGGAGGGTGGCTAAGCGTTTACGCGTGACGTGTAATAAAGTCCATGATTAATAAGTAACTCGTGAATTTTACAAAAGGGGCAACGGTGATTCGTATAACTTTTAAGCTATAGTGAGGTGTGATTTGCCTCCTGAAATATACGTGATTCCTGGTATTGTTTCTTTTATTTCGCAAAAACCTCGAGACATCTCTCAGAACCCGCACTGAGAAGATTGATTTGAAGATTTTCCTTTTATGTTCATGCCTGGATAGAGTCCCGCCCCCCCTCCCCCTCCCGCTTCCCTATTATATGATAAAAGGATAGCTGGTGAAATTCCGCGAAAAACATGCGTGCGCCGTGGGATAGTCTAGACAAAACGATAACGATGATTTCATTTTTAGGAGCTAAAGGCTTACGCACACATTCACTGCTTCAGGGAAAAGTAGTACTAAATCAAGCCGTAAGTAAATCACGCGACAGTGTTCCCTTGGATGGAATCACCGAATCGAACGTAGCAGATGCTGGACTTGAAAGCTTTGTCAGTGATGAAAGCCACGCTGAAGCTACAGACGTTGCATAGAATAGTGATTTTTAAAATTCCCTACCGTTATTAAGTGAACATTCAATGTTAATTTATTACTTTTAAAGTTTCTGTTATTGTCGCTTTTTTAAATATACATCAGCTCTCTGTTTCGCACATTCTGTTGTTTCTCAAATATAAATAAGTGCCTTGTCCCTGTTTCGACTAGGCGCCCCACCGTGTTGAAGTAAATAATCCCGTTCGGGTGCTAAATCGAATTATTATGGTCATGTCATCATGAAAATTATATTTCTTTTTATTGGTTCCCTCAATGACACCTAACGTGCCCACAGTGAATCGTTTTGATTGACAGATTGATATGACAGTGTATTTTATATTTCATGCGTTCATTCCCCACGCTCAAGACGGTCTCGTTAACGTCGCACGAGCGGCACAGCACAACATGACGAAGCTGCTTCTCTTGTGTATTTTCGTTCTCAGTTTGTCTCTTAAGCAGAGCGCATCTTCCAATTGGTGGAGCCCCTACAAATGGCGTCATTACTGGGAAGATTGGTGGGAAAAACTCGAAGAAGTCGGTCAAAGCGAAGGTATTCCGCTTGGGCAGCAAAAACCAGAACGCGTTCCGAACGCTGACGGGTAGGTGAAATGTTGCAGTTGACAGAAAAAGTTGTTCGGATAGACGAGAACAGCATCATAGAGTATTAGTTTGTACTCTGATGACGACTAACGTCAATGGAAATATTAAGAAATTCGTTCTTCATCAGTTGAAGCGCTGAATCAAAGGTCGCCCTTTTCGTGCTGAGTTATTTCCGTTGTCCAACCTTTAATACATCGTACATAATGGTTTCAAAATCTTCATGCTTTTTTGCTCCCTCTCGTTGTCGTTCAGAGAAAATGAGCAAGAGACGACTTTTAGTTTTATCGCTGGAGCTATGAAGAGTAATGTAACATCTTTTTTCGATTGACTTAGGGGATCTTCGGATGGTGATTGATATTGTTATGATGATGATATCCAAAAGATTTGTGGAATTCGGCAGCGATAAACCATGACAAATTTTTGCGTGGGCGTAATGCGTTTTATTGAAGGTCTTTTAAATTTACCACGCAATAATCAAAGAAAATAAAATCTATAGATAAACATTAATCATGCAGCCTTTTATAAAATGGCCTTTCGTATCATACATAGCATAGCTGCAACTTCAAGATTTGCGGAGCTTATGAAAATGTTAATTGTTTTGTTTGTCAACACCGGAAGAGGTTCTCCTGAAACCATAGGGTATCTGTGTAAGTGTTCACCAACGCATTTCGACAGAACGTCACGTTTTTCACTCTTGTCCTTTTTCATCATGAAACTCTTGACCCTTGGATATTCTTTTGGGTTTGCTCTGAAAATCTACCAGTAGATTTGAGCCATGCTATCTAGAACCATCACGGTCTAAATGATGGCAGATATTTCCACTTCAGTTCAATTCGGCTTGTGACATTCGTCGTAGCTCTGCCCTTCCCCTCTTACCGTGTCTCCCACCTCAAGATCTGTGTACATAGTATCGATATCTCTTGGCTTCTCGAGTGACTCTTTTCTCAGTGCACTGATGCACAAGAACAGCTGTAAAATGAATAGAATAATCCTCGGAAGTACAGTCTTGAAACCCCCAGAGTGCTAAAAAAAGGAGGGGGAAGGAAAACGCCTTCGGTTTTCTCTGGGACGTTATTCCTTTGAATCCAGCGGAAGTGCTCCTCCTTAGGCGTATGACAAGCCCTTTTGCTCCTGTCCGCACTCGCTTGATAAACGCTCAACATAATTATAATGATAGTAACAAGAGAAAATGAAAACCTCGGAAATAACGTCTTCTCTGCAGGCCAGTTTTCTTAGTGTTGCAAATAATATTTTTGAAATGTTTTTTCGATTGATGGCTTTCTATAAAATCCAAAAGCTGAGGTAAAAAAAAAAACCTTTATGAGCTATGCGTATTTTTAAAATTGTCCCGCGGCGGCACGTGTCATAAAGTCACCCAGAATGGTGAAACAATCTTCTCTGAAGTGGACTTTCCGCCTCCTAAAGCTTAATTCCTGTTGAATCCTTCATATAAAAAGTAATCCATTGAGTTAAAAATATTTTACTTTTTGAAGTATTTCACATTCGAAAAATTTCCAACGTGACAATTACCTAATAAAATTACGTACTTTTCTAACGACTGAAATTACTATGTTGTCCTTCTCTTTTCCATTTTAGGCCAAATGTATGTACAAATAAAATTCCGGTAGGAATATTTCGAAAATGCAGAAAAATACCCGGAAAACGCAGATTGCAGTGCAGGTATTGTAACTCCGTCTGTTTTATCTCTTATTGTGTTGGAAGTGTTTAAATTTTGCGTGCTACTATATTTTGAGTCATTTTACACATTTTGTGGCGATGATGCTTAAGATTGATAAGATTGATGCTTTTGGAAGCAACCTAATCATGTATTAACCTGTTGAGCCTATTTTTTTTTTCCCTTTCACCACACAGAACCGAGCAGCATTTTTTGACAGAGTATCGTTGTTGTCCCGGATATGCTAGAGTGAACAAAAGTTCCGGATGTCCAAAAGGTAAGTACAATCCAGAGGCAGAATCCTGCAAAGTGAACTTCTCAAGAAGAACATTAGGAAGTGAAATACAGTAAAACAATTAAGTAACCAGGACACAACTTGGTACAGTTTTCCATATAATTGGTCCAAAGGTTGATGTGAATGTCCTCGACCAATCAAAAAGTGAAGTAAAGTAAAACCATTGAGTCTCGCAAGTGACCTGAACACAACTGGCCTTAGATTTCCGTTTGATTGGTCAAAAGGAAGTGAAGCGAAATGAAGTAAAATTATTGAGTCACACAAATGTGGGACACATATCTTCAGTTTTTCGTCTGATTAGTTCGAAGGATGTCGCAAGTCTTTTCGACCAATCCAAAAGCGAATTGGAGCAAAAGCATTGAAATCTTGCCTTGCTTTTCGATGCTGAGTTAAAATTTGCTTTACCATGTCAATGCTCTGTATTTTAAAGATTCTCAATAGATTCTCTTCACAGATTCTTTTACTTTCTTTCCAGAGCTTTACACGTCAGACAAGAACATAGTTGAGGTGGCTGAATCACTCAGTTTAAGTGAATTTGCCAATTTAATGAAGATATCTGGTCTCATGTATGAGCTGCAGGGGACTGGTGAACGGTATACAGCTTTTGTTCCCTCCAACCAAGCATTCTCTTCACTAAAGCCAGAAACTCTACAAGAGTTGAAAAGTAACAAAGAGATACTTCGCGAAACGCTGCTGTTGCACATAGCTTCTGGTAAGATTGTTACTGAGGTAATGAAAGACAACCGAGAGATAACTGCACTTGACGGCTCACGCTTGAGAATCAATGTGGCGGACGAAGGGCAGGTAATGTAAACGTGGTCAAATTTCGTTTGCCCTTTCTTTGATTCGTCCGTCCCTACCTTTTCTTCGTTCACTTGCGTCATTCCTTCGCTCCTACGTTCCTTCGTTCCTTCGTTCCTTCGTTCCTTCGTTCCTTCGTTCCTTCGTTCCTTCGTTCCTTCGTTCCTTCGTTCCTTCGTTCCTTCGTTCCTTCGTTCCTTCGTTCCTTCGTTCCTTCGTTCCTTCGTTCCTTCGTTCCTTCGTTCCTTCGTTCCTTCGTTCCTTCGTTCCTTCGTTCCTTCGTTCCTTCGTTCCCACTTCCTACCTTTTTCTGTCCTTCCGTAAGCAAATAATGGATGTAAATTTAGCTACTCTAAGCAGTGCACACGTACTCTACTCAAAATCAGCAACGTTAATCCAATAATTAACATGCAGCATAACATGATTGATAACCCAAGCGGAAGTAGACGAACAAATAAGGCCTAGGCCATGGTGTGCGCTGGGTACCAGACCCACTATCTTGCAACGTGTGCTCCAATATCTTTTGCACTAGAGTTTTTAGATCCTTCGCCCGATATTTCCTGCTTCTACCTCGCTACTTTGTTTTATTTCCTTTCCCCTTTTATATTGCCCTTTGTAATCTCTTCATTACATGCCTTTCTTTAAACCTTTTTTGATAGACAATTATTGTTCAAGGAGGAGAAATCGTTGTGGCAAACGAGGGAGCAAGCAATGGTATCATACACATTATTGACCGAGTTCTGAGTCCAGCATCTGATGACATTGGAGAAATTTTGAAAAGTAATCCAAACTTCAGTATATTCTCACAGATGATCGAGAATGCCGCGATGAACTTCACCAACATAACTTTGTTTGCACCGACTGATAAAGCCTTTGAAGTGATGGACCGCGAGAGACTGGAGACTCTTCTTTCCAATGAAGAATGTGTCGGGGTTCGTTGTCCTCTCTTGAATTTTCTCCCCCCTGGGAGTGATTAACAGTTACCTCAATACTTTATCCGGCAAAATTGTTTGGAGAAAAATACAGATTTATAAGAAATTTGATTTTAGTCACTCTCTGAAGTTCAAGTGTTAAAGAGGAAAGGCTAAACCTACGTTGGTCAAGAATGGAAAGATTGAACACGGATTACGAAGAAAGATTTTGAAAAAGAAAAGCTTAAATTTTCTAGATGTAAACAAGGGTTTGCATTAACTTCTCGGTATTGGAACCGTCCAACAAAAAAAAAACAGACAACTTGTGGTGCTGAAACGGCACGATGTGATCAGTTTTAATCTAAGAGCTTAGTGCTTCTTTTGCAGAAATTCATTAAGTACCACTTGCTACCTAAGCCAATATACTCAGCTGCACTGGACAACAAGCGATACACCACTGCCGAAGGGCACTTCTTAGACGTTAGAATAAAGGGAGAGAAGGAGATCCTGGTTAATGACGCTTCTGTGACAGATGTGGACATTAGTGGCAATAATGGCGTCATACATGTCATTGGCAAAGTTCTCATGCCCGTTTCTGGTGCGATTTTTTTCCTTCTTTAGTTTAGTAGTCGTCTTCAGCCCTCAATCGATATGTGACGAACTTTTGAATTTACAGTCCTATTGCCTCACAACTTTGCGACCTACGAGAATTTAACTATCAGGGGTCCGTCTCTTTCTCATCTAATCAACTGTAGCTAGCGAGAGCGGGTTTCATGAGAGCGAGTGTCTCGATGGAAAACTGGGATTATGGAATAGTCAGGGATTTCGAGCCTCCACTACTGACTGATCTATCCCGCACCTCCACCCATCCCTCATCCTTCATTTCCCCCCTTCCCCCGCTGGTCCCAGTTTCAAGCGTTGTTGATTTACTCGATTCAATAATATTGGCAGATCGAGAGGATTTTCCCGAAAATTGATATTAGGGTCATGGAATCCTTATGGGTTAATTTATTACGGGCACAATTCACAAACACATCTTAAACGATTCAGTCAAAGGTTGCCAATTTCAGACAAATTCTCTCAGCTGATTTTCGTGTACTTTTATCAGTGACTTTTCTAAATGGAAAACATATCTCTAACATATCTTTTCTTTCCTCTGGCAGCCATGAACCTCTTGGAGGTAACTAAGGTGCTGAACCTTTCAACACTTGTGGAGTACCTCAATTCCACCGGCTTCTCTGACACTCTGAGGGAAGACAAGGGACCGTTTACATTATTTGCTCCGACTAACAAAGCTTTCCAGGCCTTACCTGAATCAACCAAGCAGGAATTACGTGACGATCCCGAGAAACTTAAACAGTTGCTTGCCTATCACTTGGTTCCCGAGAGAAAGTGGACTTACGAATTTGGTAAGGATAACATGGTGAATACTGTCAGCGAGGGCAAGAAACTACGCCTGAATTCATTTAGATATGGAAAGGTATGTTTCACTTGAAAGCTACGGAAATTGTTTTACTTCGCAGTTTCTTTTGTTTTAATTTCTTTCTTTTCTCTCCATGAGCCATGCTGTTCAGAACAGGTTTTCTTCGGATGTTGTCTTCTAAAGTTTTCTGTCGGTCTTCTTACTTTCTTCTTACCGAGGCAAGAAATTTCATGCAAAGATTATCAGCTATTGTCAGCTGACAACAGACTTAACTTAACTGTGAAGGGTCGGGCTGTGCCCAACCCAGTGAACATTCATCCAAAATTCGAGCAAAAACTTAACGTCAGCTTGAAAGCAAGAGCCTGGATGATTGTACAAACTAATCGTCCTTCGAACTCATCGGCCCGAATTTCTGAGGGGGTTACCTTGCGATGAACTAGCATCCCATCCAGGGAGGAGTGGTAATACTCCTAGCTCCTGGTCGATTCATGCTAAGGAATCCGGGATAAGCTCCGGCCGAGAGACTTTCACGTTATTGTTTACAGGAATTCGTTGATCAGCTCAAGGGGAGTTGCTCTCGTACCCTTTTCCCTTTGGTGTAATTCTAGTGACCGTGATTTTACATGAAGGTCTGAGTACGGTAAGAAGTGTGTCTCTCGTGGTTTAGTGAGATAGCTTTTCAGGAACATAGCGTAGCGATTTATAGAGCAAACAATAAGCAAAGACAAAAGTAAAATATTAAAAATAGCAATATAATTTACTTATTTTTTTAAAATTGCCTCTGATGTTTGTAGGTGCATTCTGTAGATGGCGCATGTGTGACTAAAGCTAACATCGAGGCTTGCAACGGCGTTATCCATGTTATTAATAAAGTCCTGTTGCCGCCAAGTAAAACAATTTACGAGCTTATCAACTCCGACTCTCGCTTCGTTACTCTAGCGGAAGCCATAAACACAACCGCGCTCGCACCAGTCCTCCAGAATCCCGCCGCTTCGTTGACTCTCTTTGCACCAACCGATTGGGCTTTTGCTAAACTGGAGCTGAAATCTCCTGGATCAATGGAGACCCTTCTCGCTTTCCCTGAAGAGCTGACAGAAGTTCTTAAACATCACGTGGTGAATGGAACACTGTACACTTGCGGTATTCACTGCAAATTCAGCTACTGGTCGTTCTTTAGCAACCAATTCTCTGTGTTTTCCATGGCTCGTGGGGTGCTCAGGATCCGATATGCCTGGAACGGACGAGTTTACGTAAATAGCATGCGCATCATTGACCTGGATCTACCCGCCACAAACGGCGTTGTTCACGTGATCGATGACGTATTAGAGCTGTATCCACATGAATTCCGCAAATGGAAGCGTGGGGTTCACAGTCACCGAGCGAGTCGCGGTAAAAAACATCGACACCACTGACGACTTCCAGGAATTTCTTCAATTTTACATATAATTTGACAAATGAGAGCGTAGAAATTCCGCCTTTGAAGTTTGCAGTTTTGATGACTTTATCGAGTGTTGAGGTTTTTTTTTTTTTAATAAACTACAAAATTTTGTAATTTCGGATTTCTCTACATCATTTGTTCTGTGGCTTATACTATATTGTTTAGTTCTTTGTTTTTTTAGGTACCGTGTTTTATAACCTTGACCTTTTTTCTTTTTTTTTTTCACATTTTTCAGTAAAATCACTCAATATCTTATTGTATATTAAGTGTAACATTTCTCTTGTAAATCTTTCTTCAAATATGAAAGTCCGTGCATCGATTGCTTCATTTTTGTAACTCAGCAGCACCACGCATTACATGAATCAGTTTAAATTTTAGATTTCAAGATGGCGCTTTGTATCAGAAAACCAAATTAGGCGGTCGTCACGAATGTGTCCAACAGGAAGCCGCTGATCCAGTGGCTTAACCGTTGCCCCAAAGTTGTAAGTCTTCTCAACTTGTACCGCAGGCTCATAGGGGCACTGCCCAGTTCTCAGAGATGCGGGAATCTCGAGCTGAGTTAGGTTGGCGGTGAAGTAACCATTCACGGCCATAAATTTCTGAGAGATAACAAAAAAAGGAGAGAAAAATATAGCGTCTTAAATGTTCTGTTGCTTCTTTCAGACAAAACTTCGAGAGCAGCAATTTCTTTGTTTCAAGCGGAGTATGTCAAAATAGGAGATTTTTGTTAACAGCAAGAAAGAAAAATTTGCCAAGAGCGATTCAATCCGAGTAGTAAACAAGACAGAGGTAAAGGATTTTTAGTATTCACGGACACGCTATCATCTCCCTTCCCTCCCCTCCCTCTCCTCACCATTCCGACCGCCTGACGGTGAAGCTTTCAATTAAAAACAGAAGACCGGACATAAAATTTAAAAAGATTATACTAATTAAGTTTACCTTCTCCGCGTCGTACAACATTACCAAGCCGGAGTAAACTGGCCAGTTAGGCGTACGAACAAACTCACTTTTATTTACAGCGTCCGTACTGAACTGAATGAAGCCCCACCTGTGGATCAAATAAAACAAGTACAAACGAAGGGAAAAAGTTAAAAAAAAATTAGGGCTGTTTGAAATTTAAAACGAAAAAACTCTGAAAAGGAGTCTGCATGTATGCCATCTAAGCAGCTGAACACCCTCCAACTTTTCGAAAGCGCAAGCGTGCGTCTACTGCAGCAGTCAAGCGCTCTTCGATGGAGTGTCATAAAACCAAAACCAAAGTAATAACATTGGCAAAACAGAAGAAAGCAAAATATCCCGAAGTGCCGATAAGAAATCAATGTAAAAACAGTCTAAAGTTTTCCCGTCTAAAGCGCGGGAAAACGCGGGCGACCAAGTCGCGACTGGCGTTAACTTTGTATCTGATTGGTTAAGAGAGAAGCGCGAGTTTCCTGGACCAATTACAGAGCAAAGTAAAGCAAAACCGATGCAATCCCGGATTATTCGCGATACAAAATTGCTATGTCTTGCAATTAAATCGCATGAAATATTGCCATTGCCCTATATACATGGCTGATGAAGCCTGGGAACTATTCGTGAGGCTTGGACTTCACTCAGCTGTACCTCGAGCAACTCTTTTGCATTTCAGCCCTTTGCAAATTTCCTTGAGTGTCCATAATGTAATGTAATTAGGAACAAAAGAGTTATAAGCACTTAAATGCAGATCAGAATAGCAGGTTATGGAAAGTGAAGAGGGAGCGACAAAAGTGATGCGGGATTGCTTTGCTTTTGCTGTTGCTTTCCTTCGCTCGGTGATTGGTGCAGAAAACTGGCACCCCTTCTCGACCAATCCGATTTAAGACTATACCCGATGGCGACTTGTCCATGTACGTTTTCCCGCGCTTCGGGCAGCTCGCTTGAATTTACTTTGAGTTTCAATGGCTTCCGTGATATTTTTTTATGTTCTGATTGGCGATTACTATGGTTTTGGTTGTACGTCCCATTTAACCAGAATAGGATCAAACTACTATCCGCGACGGGTTGAGGAAACGGAGCGATCTTCTCGTCCAAGGGAAAAAAAAAACAGCCCGTGATATTGAGCTCAATGTCTCGAAAATTAGAGAAAACCCATCCTGTAAAGACTTCTGTTTGTGGGTTTGTTTTTCTATCTTTTTATGACACTCTCTTTTTTTAAGTATGAGTGAACCAACCTCTCAGGAAGGTGCATATTAATAGCATCTTGTGATGACCACACCCAGTTATCTTCAGGGACATTTGGAATCTGCGCAAAGACAAAAGTAAATTGCAAATCAAACGCTATCACACTTTTCGATTGTTCTTGATAAGGTGTATCCATTGTAAATCATAATTCTGAAGTGATATGACCGACCAAATTTTTTTTCACTGTAGAGTCAATCTTAATAATTGATCACGGGATTTTAGCAACTATACCCTTGGTCTTTGTTCGGGGTATCACAACATTATAAAGTGAAGGAGAACACCAACCTTTTCATAATGTCCTCTGACATCCCTAACATGCCATTCAACCCTGTAAGACAAATCACAAGGTGTCAATTGCCAGTTATTATAAATATCTTGCCTGAAAAACACAGGAGAATACCCCCACACAATACCTGCTAAAGTTAATCCTCCACTGATCTTTATTCCTTGGTGGAGCTGAAGCTGTAGGACTGTGATCCACCAGGTCACTGAAGGGAAGAGCTAACTCAACAGACCAGAATTTATCTTAAACGTAAGACATGAAATTACAAAAAGATCAGATGTAATCAGTTCAGTAGTTATGTTAGCATGAAATAAGACATTTTTAAATGATTGTGTAAAGCAATGCAAGATTGCATAGGCTTAGACAACCCTTTGAACCCTATGCCTGACTTGCAGCTTATTTCTCCTTACAGTATCACACCAGAATCATACATAAAGGTGATGGGAATAAAGGAAATGATCACCAACTAATGCAGCTCTTGATTGTTAATAATAACCATTACAATAGTAGTCTCTATTTACCCTGATTAAACTAATCATTTCTCCTTGTCACCTTTGGAAATGCGTGAAGAACAGTATGAAAAATAGGCATGCTGATTTTAGGATGTAAAAGGTTAAATAAGGCTCTGTGATTGGTCTAAAGACTTGCATGACCCTCACAACTAATCAATGTAAATCTGAAACCAATATCGCCATTTGGTCAGTAGCAGCTCTGTAAAAAGAAGACTGCCAGAAATAGATTACAAATATTAATTACATCTCTGATACACATCATAACATTTCTTAAATCACCTTTAACTGAAGGATCATCCACAGGTCCTGAGACATAAATTGCACTTTTCATACTTGGCATTTCCCAGCTGTTGTTGGGTGTACCACCATTGAGATAAGGCTGCAAATAAATTTATAAATTAACTTAAGACTGTTACATGTCTGTTTTTTAAAATCAAGTATGTAATTCTGTTTTTAGTCACATAACATTTATCTTCCAAAAGGAACAAATGTATAAAATATCTATACATGTACAATTTCAATACATTATTTAGCAAACAAGAAACAAGAATATAAAGATTTGTGATCCAAAGATATGATCTTGATATACGTACTGGAACTGAACCATTGGTTTCCTTTCTACCTGTATTTAACACTTATTGTAACAATAATCCTAGCTAAAATACCTTGTTCAATTCAAGATCCCAAGTTGTGTTTATGGCATTTATTTCAAATTCTTTGTACCTAACAGAAAACCACAAAATTAATGTTCGTTGACAAGAAAACCATAAAACGTTTTATTAAAAGTGATTTTAAAATTCTTAACCCTTAAACCTAAGAGTGACTATCATCTAATTTCTCCTTACAATATCACTCCTGTATCACACATTAAGGTCATGAGAATAAAGGAAATGATAACCAGGGAAGGAACCTTTTGATTGGCAAACAAATTCTCCTTATCAGCACCTAGGGAAATTTATAAAGAACAGTGTAGAGAATATGCATACTGATCTTAGGGTGTGAAGGGTTAAAAGGAGGACTGAAAAATTAGAGTTATCCTTTCAAACTTACCAATGAGTGTCTCCATCAGGGTCCATGAAAACCTGAAAAATAGTTTTAAGAGAACAAGGGCTTGATGTAAAATTAATAATGACATGTTTCCTTTCAATGTTTCTTTATTGTCTGGTTAAAAGTGCAAAGCATACATCATATATGTAAGTAAATTAATACTAAAAACTTTGGAATTCATAAGCTAAATCTCACCTCAAAGTCATTATCAAGATACACTACAAATCAATAAGAGAAACACTTCATTAATTGTATTGCTGACTATACTAGTATAATTGGATATAACAACAGTTAATAGCCAAACCTAACAATCAGTTTAACCCTTTAACTCTTAAGATCTAATTGTTAACCCTTCCCTCTGGCTGCTACACATTTCCATGTGAATAAGTTACAATAATTTGATGTCAGATTGAGACAACAACTTTAACCTGATAAGCATGAATACATTCATGACCTATCTGCTAGATAATATTCAGACACTCTATAGGGGAAGTTACTTGTTAATCACTTCTGGTAGCTAAAGGGTTAAAGAGAAGAAATACTATTGATTGAATAGTATACTACCTATTAAGTAAGGAATCAAAGTATTCTCCATTTTCAATGTAAGTGACTTGACAAACATGTTTATGACAAAGTACATAGTAGCTTTCTCAAAAATCCACTTGCAATTTCTTTTGATTCTTTTCAAAATTATAACTTTTTTCCCAAAACATGAGTTGCCAAACTCAAGGTACAGCTTATCTGCAAATCATGTATACCTGTAGGGTGTTTAGGTATGATATTAAAAATTTTACCCAGATTTATCTTTGTCTGATATTTACCAACAGAATCATGTTTTGTTTGATTTGCCCAGACATCAGTCTCCTGAAGAAAGGCTCCAATGTACAAATACTTGTCATCCCACCTCATTTTGGCATGTGTTCTAAAGCGAGGTTTTTTCCAATCTGTTCCTTGAATATCTGTTACGCCAATATAAGAAAAACAGAGCATTCAGTCCCAACGTATATGTTTATGGTGTGTTTTCTACCATTCCTCATTCCAAGTTTACTGCATTAATCTCAAATCCCTCCCTACTTCTCTGGCTTAAGTTAATTCCCTATTCTGGGAGTTAAATGGTGTTTATGCATCAAACAATTCAAAGCTTCAACATCTACCCCCTCTTCCAGTAGCAATCCAAAGGTATTTGACTGTTTCCATGCCCAGGGGGTGGGGAATTTAGACCAGCAGTACGAAGTATTTCCAGCACAGTACACATGTTAAGGAGGTGTTTAAAGGTAAAGAATTTGCTTTTGCCAGTAGATGGCTTAGAAGAAAAGGTCTACAAGGTCTAGATTTTAGAGCTTGAATAGTCAAATCAATTGCTGGTCAGTAATTAGAAAGTCAAGGTCACTGATCTTGCCTTTGACAAAAGAGTTGACCATCAAATCTGGCATTTGGGTAAAGGGCATTTAAACATAATTTTGGCCAAAAAAACCTTCAAAAGTTCAAAGGCTCAGGGAGGTTGCAAGGGGAAGGGATGTTGAAGCTTTGAATTGATCAACACATTTCCCTCAATTACTAAACTCAAGCAGAAACTTAAAACCTAAAGCAGTTTTATGCCTGTCACATGACTGAATTTATAATTATACGCATGAAAGATATACTGATTTCTCACCAAGACTTCAATGCGACATTTCTTAACCAGGAGAAAACTATGTACGCGTTATGCAGTCATTGTGTTCACCCGCCAATTCTGCCTTATCTACCTGGACTGCAGTGTACCAAACGATATAACGTGAAAAGATCCGATCATGCAAAGAATGAAATACTTGTGACAAGGTCCAGCATTATTCACAGCCTGCAATTAATTTTATGTCAAACCGAAGGAAACATCAACCAAAAAGAAACATATATTTTCTAATCACCAATAAAATCCTCCGTCCACGAGACAAGTGCCCATGCCTTGTCGTCCAGTTTTCCATCGATATCAATGGTTTCTTGCTCTCCAAGGTGATAGACCACATAACTTCGCGGAAACGGAAGAACACATTCCGCTGGATAAGAGAGAATGCTGCCGAACTGACATAACTCCAACACAGACAATAGAAAAAAATGACAGTAAAATAATTCCATCACTCTATTTCCTGCTCATCAATTTCCTTGGTCTGAAAATATTCAGCTGGGCATTAATGTGAAAAATAATCTCCCAACAGCAATGAAGGACTCCGTTCCGTAACCAAGAGCCTGCAATTTTTGCTCAGTGGAAATAGCTTTGGTTAAAAAGGATGTTGTGTAATAGAAAACAAAGTATTTCAGATAATTAGCTACCAGTGCCTTTGAAAGAGAGAAAAAGGCTCGGTCGCTCACGTACTTTGTTAGTGTTCAAAGAAGAGCGAGACTTCATTTTGCGAACGGAATTTTCCTTTCAGCAATGGAAAACCAGAGAAAAAGGCGACATGAGATTGAAGAGGAGTTATCAGATGACGAAGAATACGTACCTTACGTTCCTTTAAAGGAGAGGAGAAGGCTTGAGCTTGAAAAGCGAGAGAAATTTTTGAAGAAAAAGACAGAGTCAAATACAGCAGCGGAGACTGCACAAAACGTTGCGCTTACGTCTTTGGAGGAAAAAGAAAAACAAGAAGAAGCGCCCATTGGCTTGAAGGCCAACGTGAGCTTGCTGGATCAGCACAGTGAGCTTAAGAAGATAGCGGAAGCCGAAAAAGAAACAGACTACGAAAAACAGCTGAAAGAAGAAGAGAAGATTTTGGACAGCATTGCTGAGAAGAAAGTCTTGATGGCTGTTGGGGAAATTGCGAAAGGAATCGTGTACACTGATTCCATCAAGACTGGATGGCGTCCACCGCGTTACTTTAACTCATATCCGCCTGAGAAATTTGATAAGATAAGGAAGAAATGGCATATTCTGGTGGAAGGTGAAGATATACCACCTCCCATCAAGACTTTCAAGGAGATGAAATTTCCTCGCGCTGTCCTGAACACACTGAAGAAGAAGGGCATAACACATCCAACACCAATACAGATCCAAGGCATACCAGCTGTTCTTACTGGGAGAGACATGATTGGAATTGCATTCACAGGTTCTGGGAAAACTTTGGTGTTCACACTTCCCATTATCATGTTTAGTTTGGAGCAGGAGAAAGTTCTTCCATTCCAGAGACAAGAAGGGCCTTACGGGCTTATAGTTGTACCATCCCGAGAATTGGCACGTCAAACATTTGAAGTTATATCAGAATTTTCAAGAGCTTTGGAACTGGACGGTCTTCCTACTTTGCGATCTGCACTCTGTATAGGTGGAACTAATGTTAAGGATCAGATGGAGGTCATCAAAAGAGGAGTTCACATGATGGTTGCTACACCAGGCCGTCTGATGGACTTGTTAGATAAGAAAATGGTCAATCTTGATGTGTGCAGATATTTGGTTCTTGATGAAGCTGATCGCATGATTGACATGGGGTTTGAAGAAGATGTGAGAACAATCTTCTCGTACTTCAAATCGCAGCGTCAGACACTGCTGTTCAGTGCTACAATGCCTAAGAAGATTCAGAACTTTGCCAAAAGTGCTCTGGTCAAGCCAGTGACTGTCAATGTAGGAAGAGCTGGGGCAGCAAGTCTTGATGTTATCCAGGAAGTTGAATATGTGAAGCAAGAAGCCAAAGTGGTTTATCTGTTAGAGTGCTTACAGAAAACTCCTCCACCTGTGCTGATTTTTGCAGAGAAGAAAGCAGATGTTGACGATATTCATGAATATTTACTGCTCAAGGGAGTTGAAGCTGTTGCTATCCATGGTGACAAAGATCAAGAAGAAAGGGAATATGCAATGAGATGTTTTAGACAAGCAAAGAAAGATGTTATGGTTGCAACAGATGTTGCCTCCAAAGGCCTTGACTTCCCTAATATTCAACATGTTATCAACTATGACATGCCTGAAGACATTGAAAACTATGTCCACAGAATAGGCCGTACTGGCCGAAGTGGGAAGACTGGAGTTGCTACCACATTCATTAACAAATCTTGTGATGAATCTGTCTTGTTGGATCTGAAGCATCTGTTACTAGAAGCAAAACAGAAACTGCCTCCTGTTCTTGCAGCCTTACAGGCAGAAAATGAAGGCTATCTTGATCTTGGTGAAGAACGTGGTTGTGCTTATTGTGGTGGTCTTGGGCACAGAATTACTGAATGTCCAAAGTTGGAGGCAATGCAAACCAAACAAGCTGGAAACATTGGAAGGAAGGATTATCTAGCACCTGGTGCTGCAGACTGGTAACTTCAGTTACTGATGTCCACTTACAGTTATTTCTACATCCTCGTCATACATGTATGTGTAGTGGTTGTATTATTGTAGAAGACTGTGTATATAGTAAGCTCATGTTATATGTAGACACAATCAACATAGGAGATACAACGTAAATACTGCAAGTCTTGAGGTATATATTTAAAAAAATTCCCCTAGCTTTATACTGGACATGAAGAGGTTTCCGTAAGGTTCATATGTAGAGAAAGCTTCATGTGTGTACTTACATGTACTCATTGGCATTAGAAAATTCACATGACCTTGTTGTCTGAAGTAAACAGTGTGCTAGTGGCAAGGTATTGTTGATTTCTTTTCTCTGATACCTTCCAATTTTTACGAGAAAATAGGTTTTGGAAGAAGGACTGTTTGAAATCCAGACAATGTGTAGTTTCAGAAAGAATGCAGACTACCACTAGAGACATTATATATTAAACCTTCCCCATTATGACTGATCTGGATTTCCCCATGCACTCACCTTTTAAGACTTGGCTCCTGCTTGAGACCTCTGCAATCTCCAACTCAAGCAATAATTTGATGATACTGCCTATTAATAGTTTTCTATTATTAGTTTAGTATTAAGATAATATATGAATCAAGTTGCATACTCAGAGTACTGTGTATGCTTCCAAACAGATGGTTTTTTTGTTCTTGGGCAAGCAGGCGGAGAGTTTGATGGGCCAATCACATGATTTTGTGCACCCCTCCTCTTGCGGGTGTCTCACCCCTGAAGCTCTTCCTGTGCTTGCCTGTTGTGCAGGCTAAGTAATGAGCATGGATCTTTTAGATACTCTTGTAAACATGAATTTGTATATTATATTATGCATGTCAGTGTTATAGTCAGAGGTTGTATCATGAACAGTGGTATTGCTATTTATTCTGTGATTCACAATCTAAAGTAATCAGAAAACAGCTGGAATCACTACCTCCAAAATTTTTTTTTGTAAACAAGGGACCATTTAGATCAGGAAAAAAAAATGGGCAATGAAGTTATACTTAAACGTAGTGCAGAATAAAGTCATTTATAATGTAAATTTTGTAATGTTTGTGAAATTCTTTTTGTAACATATTTTCATTGTTTTTTGAGTTATTTGCATGGTTTGGCTCATTTATTCCAGATGTCATATCATAACATCATTTAATACATTTAATTGTTGACACCTCAATGCAGATTAGGTTATGTGTGTGTTTTCCTTGCATTGGCTCCTGTGTAAAACATTTTTGATCAAATTCCAACTTCTCATGTGCTTTTGTATTTTTCAATTGTCAACCCATTGTTTGATTGATTGACTGACATTTTCTCCTCCCATCATTAGTCTAATTACTCTAATTAATGTCAACCATCCTTTCACTTAGACCATGGAGAATAGAAAAAGGAAAAAAAAATACAAACAGGGAGAGAAATGGGTACAGGGGGCATTGAAAGAGGGAAAATTTTATAAAACTTCAAGAAGCAGATTATCGATTATCTCATTGTTCTCTGATAGAACTTTATACAACTTTGTCATTTTAATTGTAACTTCATTCATCAGCTGATATTTATCAAAATCATTAATCCTTAAACTTCCAAATCTGATTGTTAATTCTCCCTTCTAGCTGCTACACATTTCCTCATAAATTCATTGTGAGAATTTGATGTTAGATCAAGATAACTTCTACCTGATAAGTTTGAGTATTCTCATTACCTGTTTGCTAGATAATGTATGGATATTATAGGCAGAAGTTACATGTTAATTACTTCTGGGAGTTGAAGGTTAATACCACAACCTGTAATGGCTGAGAGGAGAATATTGTAGTTTTTCCAGACACCAAGCATTGACGCAGTGATTTCTGGTCAGTGGAAAACTCTAGTGCCAGTGCCCGACAAACACGTGTTTCTACGCCTGGTTGTTTTTGTTCTCGAGCTAAGTGGTTTGTTGTTCGTGCTAAAGCTGTGTTTACTTTTACACACGTTTCGTATACAGCTAGAAAGATATTATTTCAATGCCGTGGCGAATTCTTAGAGCTCTACGCTGAAGATGGCTACAATTGTTAACCAGGTACTGAAAGGATGAAACCATTGAATACTTTCTTAAGTCTTACCCCGGCCGTAGTCATTCCCCTTTCATGGATTCCGCTCAGCTCCTTGAAACCAAATCGTACGCATGACAAACGAAAATTTTCCAAAAGTGAAAACGCTACCATGAAAATTTGCAGTAGCTTAAGCCAGCCTAAGAAACTTCTTTGAATAAAACCTCGATCGGGAAACTTCTAACCGCTCAGTGCATTTTAGATGATGTCAATTTACTTGGCTTTACTGTTAGATTGAGGAAGTCGAGAAGGATATAAGAGGCTGTGAGGATGAACTGGACATGATTGATCGAAGACTTCGGCTAAAGAAATTGTCAGATAGTGAAAGGTACTTAATACTTGAATGCAATGGTAGATAGAGATGGAGATATTATATCTATTTTTAATACTGTTTATTTTATAGCATTCACTTTTTAAGGGAGACAAACCAAGTTTTTTTTTCTATGCTATGCAGAGCTGGGCCTCTGAGAGCAGGCAAAATAATTTCAGTGAAAAAGATTTCTTACTTTATTTGGGTATTTCGCTGAATTTATTTAGTATTTCATCCCAGTCATGGTGTTGAGATTTTCACTGGTACTGTTCATATATTAGAGAATGACTCAGATTTCTTACTGAGATGAACAGTAGAACACCTTTCAAGATTTACAGTGAGTAGGCTGGCCCAACATTTCATATGAACATGATAGTATTAGGATTTTTGTCATCAATGAAAGATTTGTAGATTAATTGCATTCTCCAAAACTAAGCCAGCCTGGTTGACTGAAATCATAAGATCAAGCCATTTTCATTCAATCTTAAGTCAGAAAAAATTGGTTAATTTTTATTTTATTATTTTTATTATTCCATCACAACACCATTCCAAAAATGTAAAGTGAGGTGGCTATTACCAAAATTAATATTCATCCCACTTAAGTAAGGCAACAATAACTGAATTTTAATTTTTAATGTATTCAACAATTTAGAGATGGGTTAATTGACAGACAAGAGCAGATACAGGAGAAACTTAAAGAACATGGTAAGAACAGTGAAAAAAAAGTTATGATGCTAATGTTATCAGTATATCACTATTTGCTTAAAATATGTTTATAAAAGACTTTCCAAACTCTTTCACCCTCTTATAGTTGATGCACCCAACTTATTTCTCCCTTGAGGGAAAGAGGGTTAAAAACTCTTGATATAAAGAGGGATAGCCAACTCAGCTTTCTTCAAATCCACTCCTCAACCCTTTAACTCCTAGAGGTGATCAACTTGTAACTTCTCCTTATAATATCCATACCTTATCCAGCAAAAAGATAATGAGAATACTCAAACTTATCTGGTAGAAGTTGTTATCTTGATCTAACACCAAATTCAGGCAACCAATTTATAAGAAAATTATGAAAATGCATGGCAGCTGGAAGGGAGAATTAGCAATTAGATATTGGGAGTTAAATTCTTAATACCTACTGGTACACCTTGACCAATTAGTCATTATAATTATTAACTTGTACTTTACTCCAGATGCTTGTTCTTGCATTTTATTCATAGAGAAATCTTTGGGAAATCTACGCAAAGAAAACAGAAAATCCATGGCTGTGTCTGTAGCCATTCTAGGACTTTTGTTTATGGGATATCTGCTATTTTTTAGCTGATTGTGTTCTTAGGAATGTAATTTTGTCATTAATATTTTTATTGTACAGAGATCTGTGAATAAAAACAATTGAAAAACACCCTTTGGAGAGGCAAAGGCCTCATTAAACTCAAAATTAAAACACTTTGAAGTTTATGTCCCCAGTGGTAGACATAAAGAAAAATTGCAATTAAATATTAAATATCATGCCCAGGTACAAAAGTTTTTCAGCCACATTTCCACAGAAACAATTTAGTGAACAGAGATCATCACTTTGGGCCTGATATTCAGTGATTTTTCATATCAAACCTCTACACCTTAGCATCAGGATTTCATTTTCTCCAATCTGTTCTCCATGCTTTTCCTCATGCACTGACAAGGAGAATTGGTTTCACAATTCAATTTTCTTAGGTTGGTGATCATTTTCTCCATTCTCATGATGTTAATGAATGACTCAGGAGTATTACTGTAAGGAGAAATTTGATGCTGATCACTCTTAAGGTTAAGGGGCTAAACACCTGGTCTCTTAGGGTAGTGTTGGATTGGCCCATATTACTTGAGTTTTTTCTCGAAGAATAAATGAACATCTTGAAAAATTCCAAACATTTATTGTATCATTTGTTATATTACTTTTAAGTGAGCATGATCTAAAAACAACTTCAGAGTTGTCTGTGGCTCTGTGGTTGAACACTAGAGGGTGGAATCCTAAATGCCTGGAGATCAAAGATTCATTGAGACTCTCTTACACATTTACCCATGGCAAGAAGAATGAAAGTGCACAAATCCCATTTCCCAATGCAGTTTTTGTTTTAATCCTAGTCTTCTTCTTTTATTTCCCTTTGTGGCACATAACCCTAGAGACCAAGTCCCTCCTGGTAAGATTTCTGCACAGCCCCATACCATTATAAAACAAAGCCGTATTCCCAAAGTCCATCAATTGGTGCTGTTTTCTTCATACAAGAACTGTATGCATAATGAAGTATGCAACTGGATGGAAATCTTACCTCCCTGTCACCCCACAAACAAATTCTAAAGATAGTGGACAAAACTGATGGGCAAACATCTACTATCAAAGACCGACCACGATCTACAGCCGAAAGTTAGGTTCGAATTCCAAGACCAGTGCGAAATCGAACCAAACGTGTCTATAGTCCTTAGCAAGCGTTGTCACCGATGTCACACAACGATCGCCAACCAGCGTTGTGTGACAACTCAAAAAAGAACTTCTGGGAAAACTATTGTTCCATCGTGCTCTAAAAATCCAGTAATCCTTTCATAATACGCTTAAGTACGCGATCTGGTTACTTACTAAGGTCAAATCCGTCGATCCGTGACTTTTCTGTCATTCACCTGCCGTCTCTTCCACGTCAACTGGGACCCAAGCTTGGTGACCTAGCCTACTCACCTTGGCCGGCGAACGCGCCAAGTGTCACTGGCTAAGATGTCTTTCGAAGTTTTTGCGTTTATTTTGGCGATTCTGATCAGCATAGCTTTGATATTTTTCGCAATTTGGAACGTAAGTATGTGTTTTTGCTACACTTTTAATCACAATGTCGATTACTAAGGTCGTTGCTGCTTGATTGTATTTCAGATCATAGCGTTTGACGACCTTAAAACTGACTACAAGAATCCTGTGGATCTTTGCAATAATTTAAATCCGGTATGTTGACGATGTTTTGTATGCGCGATAGCTCTCCTTTTTAATCGTGTTATTTCAGGGAAAAATTGGGAGAAACTTCGTCTGATATTGTGGACATCATTTTGGAAGCTGGTCGTCGTTGGTGCCCTTAGTCATCGATAGCTAGCAAAGGGTGTTGGTTTGTAGTTCTTTAACTAGCACTTGGTATACACAATATTTGTCTTGAAATGTTTGTAGTGAAAATTTTTGTAGGTTATTATGATGAATTTTTTTTCACCACCGTCGATTCTTTTATTCCTTTTGTAGTCTTAACGTAATCTTTACGGAAATTATATGCAGCACTGTTTATATGGTTAACTGAGATATCTGTTAAGGAAATTAATTTATTATAAATGAGGCGATAGAATTTACTTAGAATATCAGCATAAGCTTTTGGTTTTAAAGCTTATATATTACCGTTATTTCAAAGGGGCGTCAAGTGTTGTCTACAGTGCAGTGGGCATGCTGTGGTCCAATATTTTTCTTCCTAACAAATTTCTGAAGCCACCTTGATTTTCCTTTGTGTTATATTCGTTTAAATGATGAGAAGCGAAGGAAAATAACAAGTAAAAATGGCTTGGAATATTTTTATCCCAGTAAGGAGTGGAATCATTGCTTTTACATGTCCAGTCCTGGCCTGACAGTCATGACACAATCATGAGTTGTGAGATCCTTAGCTGATGATATTCCGAATTCTTAGTTGTCCTCTGGGTAGTGTCCTTTTCAAGGTGTATTTCAATTAATTTCTGATGCAGGAAATCTAAATATAAGAAATTAAAGCACTGATATCAAATGAATTCAATAATTCAACGTGCTGTTTCTGTTCCTTTGACAGCTTGTACTTCCTGAATATGGAGTCCACTTGTTTGTCAGTCTTCTTCTTCTTGTTGGTGGTCAGTGGACAGCTTTCTTGTTCAATCTTCCTCTTATAGTTTATAATATCCACAGGTAAGGCATTCTGCAGATTGATACAATCTCAGAAACAGTTTACTTTAGATTATAATGTACTTAAGAACTTGGAGTTTCCTGATTGGTCAAAAACCTATCATTTATTGCACCTGTAAAGCTGTACAAAGTTCAGACAAACTGTGTTTTTTTTTTCCAAGTTTATTTTATTAAAGCAATTGACTGCACTTTCTATAACCTACTTGGGATATTGGGAGAACACTTGAAAAGTTTGCAAATCTCTCCCTTTGACTCATGATTTATAAAATTTTTTTGATTCCGACCATTTTGCATCAGCTACTTTCTGAGTTTTGATCTATGACAGAAAGGAAATAATTCTGAACTGATTCTAACATCAATGTCTGGCTAATAAAGTTACTATGAGTTTCAAATCCCAAATTTTTCTGAGAGAGTATGCCTCCTGTAACCCTGCCCCCCCTCCTAACCCTGGAGAAAATTAAATTTATGCTAGCTATGCAGCACAAATTAAATTCAACCCCCTTACTATTTATCAAATTTCCCAATCAATGACAACCCGCCCCAGTCCTGTCTAAAAGCTTGCATCAAACTGATGATACTAGGTGGCATAACTTCTTACTCTGTGTAAATTGTTTAATGCTTTATATCCTAACATCAGTTTTCATATTCTCTTTACTGTTCTCTATACATTAACTAAGATGCTGACAAGGAGAATTTGTTTAACAATCAAGAGCGTCTTGGGCTGGTGATCATTTCCTTATTCTCATGACCTTGATGTGTAATTCAGGGAAGATATTGTAGGGAGAAATTAGATGCTAGTCTACTTATTATTTTTTTCATATTAGATATGCTAACAGGCCAGTTATGAGTGTTCCAGGCCTCTATGACCCTACAGAGGTTATGAATGCTAGTGAAATGTCTCGCTGTCAGAAGGAAGGGTGGATTAAATTGGCATTCTTTCTACTGTCTTTCTTCTATTATCTCTATAGGTAAGTCAGTGAAAATTCAACCAGAGAAGTGTTTGTACAATATTACTCTCCCTCATTTGCATGGATCATTTCATTTTAACACCTGCCAGGAGAAAAAATTCATTTCCTTGATTGCATGGCTACATACTTCAGAAATTGGAGATGAGCTGATCAAAAAGATTTGTTTCAAATCACTTATATCACAGTGTAAATTTCTTGTATGTACAAGGGACTGAATCACAATGATACATGTACATATACATGTAGCTTGTTGTGGTAAATAAACTGCACTGAATTTGGAAGTAATTAAGAAGCAAATTGGGTTTGATCCCAAAAAGAATGTGGAAAAAATGAAATAACTTCTTTATACAGGGAGGATACCAAGCTAAATCACTGAACTCTTGCAAGACTGCTTGCTGTTTTTTATGCCTGCAATATTTGTCATCATCCTGATTTGAGTACTTAATTCCAAATACTTTATTATATTTAGAATTAAAAAAAAAAAAAGGACACATATAGAATTCACACCCTTTATAAAAATTTTTATTACCTCTCCCTGAAATATGGGGATATTCTTTTGATATACACCCAACAGCAAGTTGATAACCCTTTCACTGCTAAGATCTCATTAGGAATTCTGGTTACTTTCTGCAATACCAATATAATGTTAGTTTGGAGAATGTGGTATTGGATCAGCTACTACCCATAATCCCCCAAGGTTTATTTTTCTTTTTCCATCACTTGTTTTACTGATTTTTTATTGGTATTGCGAGGAGAATTAAGTCTTGGTAACACATGGTAGTTTAAAGGATTAAGTAAGCCGAGACATTTTCAGCCATATTCTTCTTAGTCAGGGTTAATTTTATGCTATTTTCCCTTCATAATATTATCACAAAATTTAGGCGTTAAATTATGAAAGGATTACAGGTTGAAAAAATGTAATTTCACATTTCTTTTCAGGATGATGTATGCCTTGTTGGCCTAATGGAGCATTCAAAAGCCACATTGTAGACTGAAATTTTTTTCCTCTTCTTGACTGGGACTGTCAGTTGAGACAACTAGTGGTGTGGATGATGGCAGCAAGGATTTTTTACCTCAAACTTGACCTTCTCTCATACATTGTGCTAGCTGTTGCAAACTGAAATATTGAAGCTGTATGTAGTTAGCAGTTATACTCAGTGGCTTGTAGTTCATGAAATTTTAGCTGTTCTAGCCACTAGGTTCCACAGACTGGTGAAATGTTACCCTAGAACTACATCTTGCATTGGAATATGCAAGATCCTGACATTGTAACAGTTTTTACTGGGTTAAGCTAGTTACCATGTTTATGGCACAAAAGCCAGAGTTAGAAATATTCCATCCAAGAGCATCTGAGGAGGGGCTTCATGTACATTTATTTCTCTAAAATGTGAATATGGTGGTCAGGGACTACCCCATTGCTGAGTCCATGATGGATGGTAGATATGTTTGTTTTTTTTTTTTTTTTTAGTAGAGTTGCACATGATATACAGATGAGATATATAGATATCTTCAGTATGAAAAAACTTTCTTTTACTCGGATCAAACCTTGAACCCCCAAAACTGGTCAACAAAAATACCTCTCAGATATTCATGGGGTTTCATTTAGCAGACAGATGACAAGATTAAAGAAAACTAGTTCTGATCAGTTATATTCAGACATTGTGGGTTTAAGTTTCCACTGGCTACTGTTGTGTACTTATTGATCACCAGTTTGTTAATAAGCTATTTTCCCGATCCACAGGGCCTCTGTTTTTAAAGTAGAGTTGGTGCAAAGCTTTGATTTGACAATTATGCAAACATAACTGATTTTCTGAAGAAAGGCCCTGCACTTAACCCATTTTAAAAGTGTGGGTTTTAAAAACTTGAAAATGGTTTATTGAATTCTTGGTTGTAAGGTGACTTGTTGGTCACTGTCTTGTAGCATTCTTTCATCAGTGCACTCTATCCTGAAGAGATTAAGCCATGAGATGTAAATAAATCATCCTAGCCAATGGTAGCCATCTTATCTTTCCTCATGCCATCTTACAGGCTAGGGCCCCAAACTGCCCATGTTTTCTGCAGCACTAAAAAACTGGGAGTATGTATATTTCTGGACTGGGCGCTAAACCTCAGCAAGTAACCCTCAGAATTTTTTTATTTCTTAATAATTATAGTTCATCTTGACCCTTTTATAATTCTAAGTGTAGCAAGGTGCTGTGAAAGTTTCAAAAGCAACTTCACCCTTTTGTTCCCAGAAGTGGTTTAGGGGACATCTTCTCTCAAAGAATTAATGTATTATCCAGCAGGCAGATGATACATAAAGACAAATTTATCAAAAATATAAAACTGTTCTAATGAGGCCTTACACTGTTGTTTAAAAAGTAAAATCTAAAATCCAAGCTTTTGCTGATCAATGGCATCGTCAGGTGACATCATCCCTGATGATGCCATTGATCGGTGAAAGATTGAATTTCAGATTTTACTTTTTAAACAGCCGTTTAAGGCCTCATCAGAACAATTTTATGTTACTTTTAATTACGTTGCTGAAGGACAACATGAACAGATTATACAAAGATATTAGTTACACACTTATCTTGTTAAAAAATCACATTCTCTGAACAGTGGCTAATTTAGAACATCAACTCAGTTGATAAAACCAGATAACTTTGCATTACATTTCAAATTATTCAAGATCTACAAATTTAGCTATGTGGAAGGTGGCTCTGAAAGTACAAAATGACTGACAAATTTGATGAATGATATTTAATAAATTTTTCTCCAAAGGCATTCAATTCAATTTGTCAATGAAAAAAAATATACCCAAAAAGTTACAATATTGTTTGTAATGACTGTGAAACAAATGGTAAGTACAGCAGATTAATGGAGCTTCTCTTTCAGCCATTCCTCAGTCAACTCTTCAACAGACCTTAATTCAAAATCCTGGGAAAAAAAAAAAAAAGGAATTTACATGTATTTATATATTCACGCCATCAAGCCTCCCTGTGTAACTACACAGTACCTCTTTTACTCACCCTCACATGGGTATTAAAGTACTCCATACTGTTCTCTTTACATTTCTTACAGTAATTATTACAAGGAGAATTTGTCTAACAATCAAGAGCATCTTGAGTTAGATCATTTCCCTTACTCTTGTGACATAAATGTTGGGTTAAGGGGCGATTCTGTCGAGAGAAATTAGATGCTCATCACTTTTAGAGATTAATGGAGCGAGAGGAAACTTCTCAAGACTACATTTTCCCATGTGGAATGAATCAGCAGTTAGACCAAACACTCCCTTGTTGGAAGGCCAACTAAAACTCCAGGTGAATTCTGGTATCATACGATGCATCAGTTTTGAAAACTTACACTGATGATTTTCAAACTATTTGTGACCAATTTACAATTTGTTTAAAGTAAATTACCTTGGTTTGCTTCAGTTCTGTAGTAAGGCTGTTCTTTGTGCCAGAATACATCATATGAAATTTTGGGTTACAACCTGTTGTAAAGAGACTGGAGTATTTCCAAAGCATGCTCTACATAACCACTAACAACCAACTAATTTCACACACAAGTTGCAATTGAATAAATTAAATTTGAGCTGCCACTTGAAACTCGAGTAAAGCCATGATCCTCACAAGCTAGCTGCCCCACTCCTAATGTGTGGCTTTGTAGCAAAGTGAATCAATCAATCAATCTGGGAGGCCCAGGTGTAGAATTCAAATACATGTTAGCAAATTAAGTGCCACCCCTTAGCATAATCAACACATGTTTCCTCAGAAACATGCATATCAGAAATAATTCATTTTTGTGCTCTAAGCAGATCAAGCTATCTTTTCAACCATCAAAATAAGTCTCATAAAGTTCTATCAACCATCAGCACTACGAAACATTTGAGAGTTCTTTCTGTTATTTTTTATTCTTTCCTGGTCGAACAACACACATCAACCACATCAATTGCATCAATTACTTCAGTGCATTTGAAAGTCCTAAGAAAGTTAAATGTACATAAGGATTCGCAAGTCACAACAGGTATAATTTAATTTTCACTCTGCAGGTCAAATGAAATTTATTTCCCTACAGATTTTATCAGATTCCTTCCTGGTCTCCTGGATGAGCTACTTTATAAATCATTGGTACTCTTGGCTGATAAAAAATGAAGTATGCAAAGAACATGCTCCTAAGTAAAACCTGAAAGAACTTTTCAAGGTCTGATTATTTTATGAATAAAGTTTAGCCCTTGTTTAAAAAATACCCCCCTAAACAATCCTCAGTTTAGCTGAACCTTTGATCTGAACATTTATTTTTGTAACCAGCGTAAAGATGACCGAAAGCTAACAGTGGAAGGACGTTTATTTAACCCTTTAACTCCCATGAGTGACCAAGACAGAGTTTCTCCTTACAACATCGGTACAATATCAACCAGAAAAGTGATGAGAATAAAGAAAAATATTAATTATGAGATAATTAGTTGATCCAATACCAAATTCTTCAAACTAACATCACAAGAACTACACGGCAGACAGTAAGGAGAATTACTGATGAGATCTTGGGAGTTAAAGGGTTAAGTAAAACAACCCTCTTGTTGAGGAATCTCAAGGCCCAATGATTGAGTAAAACTGTAGTTTGGGTTAGACCTCATGTAAATAACTGGCCTTAAGCATCTGGCAAAATAGAATAATCCTTAACTGCTATCTAAGGGGGAAAATTGCAGTAAGAAATTGTAAAAGGATAAGTGATTGAATTGAATAGTTGGTGCTGCTACACTATGCAGCTGGTGTTGAAAACTTCTCTGAGCTTACCTTGGGGAGAAATGAAGATGAAACAAAAAGGAAAAGAAACCCTTCCATCATCATGTTTATAAACATAACTAAGTACCACATAGCTGCAAATTGTTAAGAAAATATGTATGTTGTTGACAAATATTAATAATTTATCAAAAGTATCCACAATGAGTTTGACAAGCTCTTCCAATCATACACCAATCTTACATCAATGTGGAATGTTTCAATTTGGGTATGGCTAAATCTGAGAAATTTCAAACAGTTTTGTGGCAGTTGTTACAACCATTCATTGCCAATCACAACTTCACTGGACCATCGCCAATGTATATTCTACAACTGATAAAATAAAAAGTTCCTAGAACAGTTTTTACAGCTTCTAGGCTTTTCAAGCTTTTAATAAGTAGTTCCCTGCAATCATTTTTTGCTAAAAAGTACAATTAATTCGCTTAATGTCCCAAAAGGATACCGAGGCTGGTGATCTGGTAGTTCCTCTCTTAAGTCATCAATAGATATATCCTGCAAAACCAAACTGCTTGTCAGTTAAACTCTGATAACCATAAACACCATAAATACATTAAAACCCCTACCAAGCTGCCCCTGCATTGAGCTGTTACTCTTGATCAAATTAATGACTCAGTAAATTATGCTCAAAATTGACCTTCCATCAACACTTCAAACTATGAAAGCTTGAAATAATTTTGACAAATTGTTTTTGGCAGTCATCTAGCATGCTGTAACAATTAAACAACTTAATTGTTTTGGTCTGAAGTAAAAAATTGAAAAAATTTTTCAAAAAAATACTCCTCAAGACACGCTCAATTATTTCTTTCTGTAAAAATTTGCCTCTCTGTTCTTAGTTACCAGAGTACCAAGCTTTGAGATGTCTTGTAAATCTCCCAAAAACAAATGCCAGCAAAACTGCTTATTCTAAATCATGGTCAGTAGATTACCACATGAGACTTTCACCCAAGGCTTGACAACACAGCACTTAAATGTTGGTTGTGTGCGAGGAGATCAATTTTGCCCTTCCCCCCCTCCCCCATGAGCCAAAATGTCATAGGAAAACAAAAGAAACATCAGCTGTCTTGTTGGTTACTCATGTGAGAGAACCTTGCTCTGACAGCCAGAAAAAAAGCACATGCACAATGGTTGACCACTGTGTTACCCTTGATAATTGACAAGTATATCAAACCCCTTCCATGACATGCTCAAAACAACTGATGAGATTCCCAAAATTTCTTAAGTCTGCAAATTTTAAGTGCTAAATAAATATTTGCAACTATCTTAATAATTATCATGTACCTATAATTTAGCACAACATGAACCCACCTCATGTTCCTCATCTATGACTACTAGGTGTTTGTCAGGGTCAATCTTGACTAGAAAAAGTAAGTAGCAAAAAAAACAAACAATTTAATACTTAACCCTTTTAACTGCCAGGAGTGACCAAGACAGAATTTCTCCTTACAATATCAATACAATATCAGGCAGACAAGTGATGAGAATGAAGAAAAATATCAATTAGCAGATTATAAGTTGATCCAATACCAGTTTCTTCACACTAACATCACAAGAACTGTATGGCAGACAGTAAGAAGAATTACTAATGAGATCTTGGGAGTAATAACATGGATAAGGGAAGCCGTGCTTCTCTGTTCTTCTTTCAAGAATAAACTTGTTCCCTTGACAAATTCTGTTTCTCCAAACAGGATTCTTAATTCAAAAAACCCAAAACTGGAAACTCACAACTAGATTCTTGAAACTTTCAAAAATCCAGGATCAAGATTGGAGTTGAAATTGTCTACTTAAATCTGAGTGGTACATGTCCCTGAGTCTAGTTCACATTCAAGGTAAAGGTGAGGTCTGTCGCAATAGTTGCAATATTTTTTGCTTTAAACGAACATTCCCCAGTAATTGACAATTGATAAGCAAAGGAAATCCTCTCCAGATATGGAATGCAAATCAATCAAGTTCTTTCACTAGGAGCAAGATGAAAACATAAGTGTACTGTGGAAAAATAGTGAGGAAAAAAAGGTGAAGTTTGTGAAGAGCAGCCTCATTGCACTAGCATCCCTTAAAAGTCTTCTCCCAAGCCTGTGTACCACATCACTGACGCTTCTCCTGGTTAGCAAAGCATGAAGCAACAACGAGGTTTTCAAAACCCTCCTTCCCCCTAGACGGAATATTAGTCTATTACAGCTGGTTCACCCCACTCCTCCTCTACATTCCCTATCCACAGCATTCGACAGTCCTACTTTTCGGACACAGCGGACATCTGAGTATATTTTTGACATTATATTTACAAAAGAGAAATAAACCAAATCCTAGTTTACATAGAATTCCCCACAAAAAGATCATGTTAGTCAAAAACTTACGGACAATGGCGGCTATGGTTTTCTCTTTACGAAGACGAAATTTTTCTACTTTTTCTTTGACCACCGGGTCGATGTCGCAGACTTTTATATTCCCACTCTGAAAAAGATCCAAATTAAATAAAAGTTACACCCTAGGCTTTCATAGATTTTTGAGCTTGAAGAGTTTAATTTGCTGCAATCAGGCTGACTGTTTAGGTTTCAAATTCGTAAAGCTTTTCGTCGCTATTAAATTTTAGCTATTACCTTGGCGTGATCTCATTTGCTCGAAAGCAGCCATAATTTTTTCGGATATTCAACCACGCTTGCATTTAAAGGTCATTGTATGACGACTGATGCAATTTTTTTCAATTTTTATGGGTATGCGGACTGTGAAATACACCTCTATCACACTCACCATTCTGTCCTGTCTCTACGGAAGGAAGTGACTATGTATCCACGCAACATAACAGTAAGAGCGAAGATTGGGAACGAGGAAATGTCGGGAATTTATACACATGTACATAGTACCTATCACACAATGAAACTCTAATGGGGGGTTTATCGTCGACGAGGAGGAGTATTCTTCCAAAGACTATTCGTTTTTCTTGATAACGACCGACACTTCTCTTCTTATGGTCAATTTTAAGGCTATTTTGGATTAGAGTCAACCCTCTTTGATATCTGCAATTTATCTACGGAACTTGTTCAAATTGGTTCTACGTGCTCTATGATAGTTTATGAGCTCTAAAAATGATACAAATTGTAGGCCTAAAGGCGAACAATACGTAAGCAGTGGACATTCCTTCCCCCTTCCCACTGGCGAAAAATTTTTCAGATATCCCTACATACTGATGGCTACAAATTTTCCTTTTGTTCACGAGAAAGCTCTAGCTTAAAGGTGAATTGTTCGTGTTTCTAGATCGTGCTATGCCGCAAGAATACTTATTGAGGTTAGGTAATCTTTTATTTCTTTTGTGAAGAACTGACCTCAGTCTCCGATCCAATTGTTCATTCACAACAAAGGAGTCGCATTTGTAAACAATTCAAAAGTTTTTAGGTAGTGAAAGGGTAGTTTTCATCCTCGAGACATTACTAATTGAAATTGGTTAAGAATAGGATTAATGTGAACGCACCTGGCATGATTCCTTTGACATGATTCGCACGTGACGGTATGTTGAATCGAAAACACCAGCGAACGTCTAACGATGCAAATCGTGAAATCGCGATGCACGAAATCAGTGAGCAGACACAAAGAAGGATTACATCCTTCGCTTCGGATGTGAAGCAGGCCATCAAAATAATCACCAGGCACAGTAGTCTCCTTAAAACCGCAAGTTATCTCTTAAATTGGAAATTATTGTTAAGAAAGCGTTCTTTATCTTTACTGATGTGTTACTCTTTGGATTGAGGTTTACAACGCAGTGCAAAATTCTCAGTACGGTACAGTGTTGCCTCTTGACCTTGTAACTAATGTTTACGTTAGCAAGAACTTGCCAACACATTATTCTTTTTATCAATTAAAAAAAATTTCATGTTCTGTATTTGAAGTCGACTCTCTCTCATGATCAATAGATACATTTGTGGACGAGCAACTCAATCCAGTTCCCGTAGTTGCTTCCCACCTTTTTCCCATCAGTTTGTGATGCGTAGAATCGTAATTGTAAGAGGAGATTTAGGACAGCAATATTCTTAAACAATCGAAGACGCAGCCTTGTTTGAAAACCTAATATTTATTTGACTTCCCTTACACTGTTTTTTCAGCTTGTTTCAATTTTGTCAACATAGTTACTTGATAACATAAACATAAAGTATATACATTTGCATATCAGTTCATCTTAAGGGTCTCCTTATAATCAGTGTCACATTTGCTGGCGTCTTTAAGATGATGGCCTCTAAAGAACAAAAACCTTTTTTTCCTCAGTTTTCCTAGTGGTGTCTGTCTTAAACAGAGTCGAAAGCAACCGTTTTACTTATTCTTGCAAGAACTTTGAACATGATTTACGAAATTACCAATAAGTTCATGCAGAAATTAGCAATTTCAGGTCAATAATATTTCGATCTACAAAACCCGCTTTTATTTGGCTTAGACTATGCAGATCTAATCTCTGAATAATCATTAGACGCAATATGCAAAACAGTTCAAATTTAACAGACAGCGGATACAATATCACCATATAATGAGCAGCAACTATTTTCAAGATTTTTCTCGACGTACAATCCAACCTTAACTCTTTAGACGCTGACACCAGTATGCACATTCTTCTTACTGTTCCTTATACATTTCCTAAGAGGCCGACAAGAATAATTTGTTCAAACATCGAGGGCTTCTTAAGTTAGCGATCACTTCCTTCATTTTCCTGACATTAATGTTTGACTCAGGGGTGATATTGTGGCGAGAAATTACATGCTAGTCACTCCTATGGGTAAAAATGTTAAGAAACGTGTATTGCTTCAAACCGAAATTCGCAAAAATTGAATCAGTTCTCAAGTAGTTTTCCTTCCCTACAGGTGTACGCATAGAGCAAATTGCGGTATAATAATGAGGAGCTTTAGATAAGGTAACAAAGGGTATTCTCCTTCAAATACGAGAAGCTGTTGTGAAGCTTAACGAGGTCCTACTTTTCAAAAATAATATATACAAAAATGATATATACAAATATAGCACAAAGTACCAACTAGCAAAAAAGTGACATAAAAAACAGCGAACATAAACTAAGTTCGGGGAAAAGATTCCCGAGCTGTAGAAATAAGAAAGAGTAATGTATCAATGAAGTGGCGATGGATGCTGAAAACTAGGCATCACTTTTCTGTGAACGCCTTCTAATCTCGTAAAAAATACGGATAGTTTGTAATTGTGAATCTTTTTCACGTGGGAATTCCGATGATCAGATCGAGAGAAAGACCGGGCGCAGTATGGACAATGATATGGTTTTTCCCCAGTGTGCTTTCGAAAATGGCGCTTTCTTTCGTCACTTCGTCTAAATTTCATTTTACATGTCTTCCATGGGCACGTAAAAGGTCTTTCTCCGGTGTGAATTCTCATGTGGTCTGTTAGAGCAGATCGTTTAGGAAAGGATTTAGAGCAACCTGGTATGTCGCATTTAAAGACCTTCTTAGAACAGAGGAGTTCCTTTAGGACCAGGCTATCTTTTGATTTGCAAATCAAGAGTTCAGTGTTTGGTGACTTTCCAAAGCTTAATTCATGTAATCTTTCACATTCAGGAGGCTGACTTCTCCTGTTTATTCCAGTTTGCCCATAGGTAAGATTTTGGTTGGGAGCAGACAGCCTATTTTGATGAACCAGACCATCCTCGAGGGGCCAGTTGGAGATATCCACTAGACGCTCTACAGTTTGGGTCTGGCTTGTTTGAGAGGAGATCTGAGGCGGGTGGGGCTCACTCATTGAGATGGAATGGATTGGGTTTCTCGCCTTCACAGTGGCATAGTTTATGTGGGTCCTACAACGTTTTAGCGGCATCATTTCGTCGCACATTTTAAATTTTTCACCATTTGTTAATGGATGTTCTTCGTGAGTGCGTGCTCTATTCATTTCTCTGCTTTTCGAAGCATGATACTCTTCTGCTGATCTCTTGGACATGGGTGTCGTCTGAGCATTGCCATGGCAATGAGATGCAAGCTGAGATGGTCTTGACTTACTATAACTCCTGCTTTTAGCTGAGCCCACTTTTGGATTCGATTGCTCGTTAAAGTTATCTGCATTTGCATTTTGAACATCAGGATGAGTGGCACGTTCAGATGAGACCATTCCGTTCGGTTGAACAAAGTATTTCGGTTGCGGGTTTTTTCGCAACACAGCAGTGGTTTGAGAAATGTCTTTCATCCATGCTTCGCTGGGCAACTCCTCGTCCGTTCCCACCAAGAGGGTATTGTCGGTAATTTCATTAAAATGATCGAAGAAAAAGCAACTGTTTGCTCTAGACGAGTAAGCTCTGCTCTCTGGGAGACACAGTTTTGCGGTTCCTTCTTCCACCACTTGTTGAGCATAAAAATGAACGTTCCCCTGATTTCTCCTCGAAAACGAGGTGCCTTTGTCACGAATGTTGTGTGTAGCATCAACTCCTACATCCAATTTGTGCACGACTCCTAAGGTAGGTGTGCGACAGACGTCTCTAAAGCATACTTCACTGGGCATCTTCTCAATTGCCCTCAACATGAGGCTGTCGTTTGTATCTTCACTGAACCCGCAAATATTTTTAGAAACAAAGCGGCGACCGTCTGTTCTCGAAGAGCAGGTTCTGCCCTTAGGGCTATATAATTTTGAGTTTCCTCTTCCAGTCATTTTTTGAGCAGTGAAATTATTTGTCTCTTGACTTCTTCTGAAAAAATCAGGAAAACAGTCATGGAAATAGTTGTTTGAAGCTTTGCATTCCTTTCCAGAATTTTTCATGATTTCCACGGCAATGGAAGGACAAACATCTGCCATCCACGCTTCATTAGGTTCCTTCTCGATTGTCCTTATTGAGTGGCTATTGTCGGTATCTTCATTATGCCCACAAACACGTTCATAAACATACTGGCCGTCTGTTCTAGAGAAGAAAGCTCTGCTTTCTGGCGTAAACAATTCAACGTTTCCTTTTCCCACCATTTGTTGCGGTGTGAAATTATTATTTGCAGAGCGTCTTTTAAAAAACGTGGTGATTTTGTCAGTAAAGTTGTCGCCAACATAAGGTGCTTTATAGTGCATGCCATTGTTCTGGATTTCTCCTCCACTAATTGTACAGTTTTGTAGCTCTTCCACTGCGTTCTGCTGATCTAGACTGATGTCTTCCATGGAAGTTTTCGCTCTTCGATGAAAGGGGCTCGACTCTGTTACCACTTGTTGTAGGGGAGGTTGTAGGAACGGATGGACGGGCGTTCCAATATGCACCGCTTGGGTAGATCTATCCCCATCTTCTCTCAAGGAAAGGGTATTTTGTTCAGGCATGTTTGATATGCCTGAAATATCACATGATCCTTGCATGGAATCGTCTTGAAAGGAGTAATATACCCTCTCCAAAGCGAAGCCGTTTCCAGGCTCAGCTTGTCCGTCCATTCTGCCATTTTCTGGAGTTCTTTCCTCGCCGAAGAGCACATTACTAACGAAACTCTCGCGTGAGCGCCTTTCTCTTTCCATGCTAACAACAGTACGAAGAAAATTTGCTAGTTCTGTCTCACTGTTATTTGTCAGACGTGCCATTTTTGTAAGGGGTTCAGCTCTCAGGCTTCTCTTTGATAATCAGTCTGCCAGGAGATTTTCCTCCAGCACTAAGATTCTTCTTTCTCTTCTTGTTAGGCTTTCTTTCCCCGTCAGGGTTACAGTGTAACTCATCCCACCTACGCAGTTCGCCCAACTGTTATACTTGAGTGCTATTCAACTAAACTAATGCTTTCAAGCAAGAACATACACGCCGATCTTGAATAATTCAGGAGGATAATCATCTCCGCTTCACTGCTCATACGTTTAGACAAT